AGTAAAATTTATATAACATAAGATTGACCATTTCAACCATTTTTAAGTGTATATTCAGTGGCATTTATATTGTTGTGCTACCATCACCACATGCATCTCCAGAAATTTTTTATATTGCAACACTGAAACTCTATACCCATTAAACAATAAATCCCCATATCCTACTTTCCCTGCCTTTGGCAACCACTATTATACTCTCTGTTTTTATGTATTTAAATACTTTGGATACCTCATATGAGTAGAATAATCATACAATATTAGTCCTTTTGTGACTGGCTTATATTACTTAGCATAATGTCCTCAAGGTTCATCCATGTTGTAGCATGTGTCAGAATATCTTTTCTTCTTTTGGCTGAATGATACTTCATTGGATGTATAAATCACATTTTGTTTATCATTCACCCATGATAGATACTTGGGTTGTTTCCATGTTTTAGCTATTGTAAATAATGCTGCTAAGAACATGAATGTACAAATTTTACCAAATGCTTTAAGCATTGTTTGTTTAGATATATTCTCTTTGCTAGGTAGAGTTGAATACTTTCTGATACACTTCACTACATTTGACATTTAAAAGGTAGAGACTTAGAATCACACATCTATTAAGCTTCAGAGCCAGTATTCAAACCCATTAGTTTATCTGCCTAATTTGGGGGGAATAATTTAGTCTTTTTCCTTGTCATATCAGGGGTGCAAGTTTGCCAACAGCCATTTCTTTCTTTTCTTAAGGGATATAATTTCTTTCTCTTTTATGTGTTGGATTTTTATATAAACTTCTAATTGTATGAGAGGTGTATGAAGGCATGTTACTCTGTGGTTATACCCCAGTGGATTGGGAAGAGAAAAACTGTTAGTTCATTTCCTGAATGTGATGTCTGTGTGGACAATTTTCCCATTAAACAAATAGGTCATTTAAGCATGTTTACTAAACACAAAGTCAAATGACGTTCTCATTTGGGTTCAATCAAAAATTCATTTAAGACTGTGAGTCTATTCATGTTACCCACTTTGTAACTTAACCTTGAGATTTAGATCTGACTAGCATTCACTAAGTATCTATAATGTGTTTGGTCCAGCACATGTATGGTCTAATTATTCTCCAAGTCAGATGACTGTGCAGATAAAAAGTTAGTTGTGGGACTGACTGGATAAGACAATTCATTCAAGTGGGTAAATGTGGTAGACCTGAGTGTTAGGTACTATTTTCCTACTTTCCCAAGAAAATCTGGTAAGGGTGAAATCCTTGGTTACTTCTATTTGAAGAAACAAATTTTTATTTTTGAATTTATGTCAATATGAATTTATCATTTAATAGAGTATGATTCTAAAGGTTTACTATAATATATATATAATA